CCAACATGTAGGAGCAAATCTCACTGGCAAAACAAAGCCAGATCCTTGATTCCAGCTATAAGAAATAGTACTTCAACATATTGGCCCTTGTGATACAGAGGGGAACACAGACAAGAATGCAGGTGGATGTGCTCCTACTGCAGGAACAGCCCTTGTGCCTGCTCAGCATTCATGCTTATGCTTCGATTCATGGAGTTGCCCACCGAGACAGTGCAAGTCTTCCAGGTAACTGACATTGTCTCAAATAGCAAAATTTCCTGTCACTGTATCTATCTAGAAGTCAGGCTTATTATTTAAAAAAAATTTTTGAGTAAATGAAAAAAAAAAGAATTTATTCTGTTAGGAATACTTAATGTGAGATCAACCTTCTTAAAATTTGAAGTGTATACCAGATTATTATTGACTATATGTGCACTCTGTACAGCAGGTCTCAAGTTTACTCACCTTGTTCAGCTGAAACTCAATGCCTACTGGTTATTAACTCTATTTCTCCCTTCCTCTTGTCCCTGGGAGCTACTATACCATTCCATCATTTAACAAATTTGACTATTAGGTATTTTATGTAAGTAAAATACTAAAGTATACATTCTTTTGTGAGTGGCTTATTTCATTTAACATAATGTCATCAAAGTCCATCCACATTGTAATATATAGCAGAAGTTTATTCTTTTTAGGGCTGAATAGTATCCCACGGTAGGCATATATACTATATTTTTTAAGAATTCATTTATCTATCAATCAGTGGACATTTAGATTGTGTCCATATCCTAGGTACTATGAATAGTTCTGTGGTAAACATGGGAGTGCTAATATCTTCAGGATTCTGATGCAGTTCTTTTTGATCAATATCCAGAGGTGGAATGCTGGATCATATGCTAGTTCTAGTTTTAGATTTTTTGTATAGCAATCTCCATACTGTTTTCCCTGTAGCTGCACAATTTTGCATTCACACCAACAATGGTAAAAGGATTCTAATTTTTACACATCCTTGCAAATATTGTTATTATGTGCCTTTAAAAATAATAGTGATACTTATTTTAGTTGTGATCATATCCCTGAGGACTAGTGAGGTCCTATATACCCATTAATCACTGTATGTCTTCTTTGGAGAAATGTCTATTCAAGTCCTTATACTGTTTAAAATAAGATTATTAGTTTGTTTTGCTCTTGAGCTGTAGGAATTCCTATTTTATAGATTAACCTCCTATCAGACAGATGGTCTGCAAATATTTACTCTCATCCTTTGAGTTGCCTTTTCATTCCATTGATTTTTTTTTTTAATCTCAGTGAGCCTCCCTTGTATATTTGTTATTTTGTTGTTGGCACATTTGCTGTCAGATCAACTGAATCGTTACCAGGGTCAATAAGAACATTTTCACTTTTGTTTTATTCTGAAATCTGTAGAGTTTTAGGTCTCACATCTAAGTATTAATCCATTTTTGACTTGATATTTATGTATGTTGTAAGATAGGGGTCCAATGTCAATCTTTTGCATGTGGCTATTTAGTTTAAAAAATTTTTTGAAGGGACTGTTCTTTCCCCATTGTATTCTTGGTACTCTTGTGAAGAATCAGTTGACTGTATATGTCTAGATTTATTTCTGAGTTTCCTATTCTCTTCCATTGGTCTAGACGTCTGTCTTTAGGATAGCATCATACTGCTTTGGTTGGTGTATGTTTGTAATATGTTTTAGCATCAGGATGTCTGAGGCTTCCAACTTTGTTCTTGAATCACACTGATTTGGTTCTCCATAGTATTTTGTAATTCCATATGAACTGTAGAAGCTTTTTTTTCTCTCTATTTGTAAAAAAATAGCTTTGAAAACTTGATAGAAATTGCATTCAATATGCAGATCACCTTGGATAGTATGTACATTTTAGCAATATTAAATCTTCCAATCCATAAACAAAAGATACCTTTCCATTTGTGTCTTTAATTTCTCATGTCAATGATTTGTAGTTGTAATACATAAGTTTCTTACCTCCTTAGTTGAATTTATTTCTAAGTATTTTGACCTTTTTGGTGTTTTATGTAAATGGGATTATTTTCCTATTTTGTTTTCAGAGAGTTCATTTTTATATAGAAACAAAAATGAGTTTTGTATGCTGATTTTATATTAACAATGTGTTACATATTTTGTAATTTTACTGAATTTATCTGTTCTAAGAGTTCTTTATGGATTCTTTTTAAAAATTTTTATTTATTTTCATTAGGTACATATGACAACAGAATGCATTTTGATTCATTGTACATAATTGCAGCATAACTTTTCATTTCAGTGGTTGTACATGATGTAGCATCACACCATATATGCAGTCATACATGTACCTAGGCTAATGATGTCCATCTCATTCTATTATCCTTCCTGCCTTAACTCACCCTCTCCACCTTTCCTCCCCTTTGCCCAGTCACAGTTCCTCCATTTTTTCCCATTCTTCCCCACTCCCCATTATGGATCAGCATCGACTTATCAGAGAGAACATTTCAGCCTTTGGTTTTTGGGGGATTGGTTTACTTTACTTTGCATAATGTTCTCCAACTCCATCCATTTACCTGCAAATGCCATAATTTATTCTTTTAATGCTGAGTAATATTCCATGGTGTATATATACCACAGTTTATTATCCATTCATCTAGAGGATTCCCAATTATAATCTGTAAGAAATAACATTAAACTTTAAAAGTCTAGGTTGATAGGTGATTTATTTTTATGATTGTATTTGCAACATATGCTTACTGTTATTTTAAAAATAAGAAAAGATACATCTTTCTCTTAACATGCTTCTAAATTAAAGTTATAGTAACATTTCTCAGTCTTCAGTTTATCATAAAAGTTTTCAAATAGGTACACAAATTAGAATCTCAGCTTTTACAATACTTGGAAAACTAAACCATTGCAATCTCAAAAATCTTGAGAATTTTTGTCTTCATTCCATTCCTGTAAGTACAGATTGGAACACTTGAGCTCTGTGATGTTTTTATTTACAAGGGGCATCAAGCCCTCAGTCTCCTTGATAAATACCCAAAGAACAAGTCCAACATTAGTAATACTTTCAATACCTGGCCTCAGATTACTACTGGTCATCTCCTTCATTTTTTATCATTTAAATGGATGCTTTGCACCATCTGGGTATAACAGTGTGTTAGTTATTTTAAATGAGCTAGATATGAGCAGAAAAAATGATGAGGAAATAACATTTTAGCTCTTGCTTGCCAATTTCAAGAGAAATAATCATATTCTGAAGTCATGATCCCCACCTTCCATTATTCAACATTTTGTTGCAAATAAAAAGAGATATGAAAGTTACAAATAATAATAGATATCAACCAATTTCTTCACTCAGCTTGAAATAGGAAATATTGTAAATTGATGCGTCTCATCAAGGAACTGTTGTGGTACTGATGAGATGTTCTTGTATTTCCCCATTAGATCCCATGTATTGCACTGGCATTATCAAAAGCCTTTTTGTGACTAGTACTGAATATACTCTGCAGCAACAAAGAAGATATGGCTTTCACTACACAATTTCAAAGCTTTGTTGATGGATCTCATGTTTCAAGCAACTATAATACCCCCTTACATTTCTAATGTTTGTACAGCTCTTACCTTACTTCTCTGCAACTTTCTCAACTGTTAATTAAAAAGGAACTCTTAAAAGTGGATTGGGTCAAAGAAAGCAGGAAGCAAGATGAAGTTAAATAACAGGAAAATAGAGGGCTTGATACTTATATGGATCTATAGTGAGTACACAGATAAATTTGATTGATAGATGGACAGACTAAAGAATGTCTAACTCAGCAGACTGCCTATAGAAGAAATCATTATTTTTTAAAAAATAAAAACATTAATAAAGTCATTTTGAGAGTATTATGATGTGGTCAGGGAATAAGCCAAGTATTCCTCAAGATCCATTTTTCCTTTCTTTCCTCTTAATAGAGTCATCAGGTTTCAACTGGTCTCATGTCTGGTCAAAATAATTTTCCAACACCCCTTGACACTATTGTGTGGCTAAATGAAACCTATTGGCCAGTGGAATTAAATAGAAGTGCAATTTTTTGGAAGTATTGTTAAAGAGGTGGAGGAGATGCTTTTCTTGGGATGCTTTCTTCCTTCTACTGATTGGGATATAGATGTCTGCAGTCTTTAATCCTCCAGTATCACCAGATATTTCTTTTATGAGAAAAGAAGTCTTGTTATGGTGCTTCTTCTTGTTACAGGGAGCATACTAAAAGCCTAATCAATAGAGCAAGTCACTAAAAACATGTTCAAATAGGAAAATATGATGGGTAAACTCTCTTCTGAGAGCATGGATCTTTGATACTTTTTATATCCCTTAAAAAGCACACAGGGATGAAATAAGGTATATGTCAGTTTTAAGCAAAAAGTGAGGAAGGCTTGAATTATTATGTAAAAATAAAAGGGATAAAATATGGGTTTTAGAGGAAATCAAGGAAAGAAGAAAATTTTTTTAAAAGTATTGAGCAATGTGATCCTGCAATCTGCACACATGGTAAAAATAAGAATTCATACCCCATTTGAATAAAATGTATGATATATGATATGTCAAGATCATTGTAATGTTTTGAGAATCAAATAAAAGTATTGAGCAAAGAAAGGGAGAGAAAAAGAAAAAAATATATGAAAATTCAAAGAAATAAAAACAAATGACAACAACAAAAATATAAAACCCATGTGGCTCGGGATAGATGAAAGAGATTTGAGGTAACAAATTGGATGATAAAGACTTGTCATATGTCTGTTTTTACTCTCTTAAAAATTTTCCTTTGTTTTTCTTACACTGCACAATTATCTATGAACTCTAGGTATGTATGTGTGTATGTATATTTTACATATATATATGTAAAATATACATATATATATATTCTTTTGAGTTGACATTATGATTCAGAGGAAAATGGAATCTACATTTAAAGGTATAATAGACAAAGATCCAATTGGATTCCAAACACCCCAAATACTCTTCATCTTCCTTCTTATATCACTCAACTTTGAAGTTCTTAGAACTAGATTGGCTTCAATCTCTGTACACCCCACACATAAAACAATAGATACATAAAGAAGTCCAGGGATTAGAGACTGCAAGTACTTGATGAGATGAAGAGAATCAGCAGAGACATATGAATGGCCAGTCCTTTGTGTGGAGAAGAGAAATTTGTGTGCCAGAGGCAAAGTAAAAATAAATAAATAAATAAAAGTTTTATAGGACAGGTGATCAATTATGAGAAAACTGTTGATAAGGCAAATGATATAGAAATTAAAATTAGTCTTATAAGTTGGCCATTTGGAGGTCATTGGTGACCCTCAAAAGCACAGTTTAAGGGAGATGTTGAAAAAAAAAACAGCTTGGCTAGATAGTAAGAGAGAACAGGAAGAAAGATTTGACAGTAACTATACCACTTCTTGGAAACATAGATATTGGGCCATCACTGGAAGGCGATCTACAATCAAAAGACTTGTGTATTAAGATGGGAGAATGATAGCATTTTGGGATAATAACAGAAATAATCAAGTAGAGAGCAAAAAGAGACATATGGCAGTGGTAACTTGAATTGGGGAGTGGTAACTTGAGTGGGGAGACTCTCTCCTAGGAGGAGCCTAAGTCATTGCTTCACAGTACCAGGAGGGAAGACAGAAAGTAAGGGTACAGATGAGGTGGTTTAGATGTTTGATGGCAGCAGCAGAGGAAAGTGGCATTTATTACATTTGAAATTGTTGTTACTTGTATTATTTTAATTTTTTGGTAAGGGCTGGTTCTTCCATTAGACTGGACTAGGAAAACGTGTGCCTATTATATCACACAAAGAATAGAACTCAATTTTCAATAAATGCCCAATAATAATGAGTAAATAAATAATACCGCCCCACACACTTCACATTGTATCATGCTCTCACCTGATCAGGCTGTGAATTCTGTGCTATGGGTCATCATTCCAGGGAGTATAAAATTCTAAGCAATTGCAATTCCCCAAATTTCATGGAATATTCATTACCTATGAACAAGATAAGGCTTTCTGGGATCTTGCATGTTTACAACCTGTTAGGGAAAAAAAAACAGTTAAGAGGCACTTACTCTTTCTTTGTGCCATGTGAATCTCCTCCCTGGCCACAGTGGAGAGAGTACCTGAGGATAGCCAGCAGAGACTCTTCAAAGGAGCAATTATGACATCTGTGGATATAACTGCCAAACACTCAAATCCTCTTCCTCTTAGGAAACATAAATGAAAAAACAAAAGAAAGATTAAGGCAGAAAGCAATATATAAACAGAGAAGGCACTAAAAAGATAATAGTATGGGGTAAAATAGAAGGATCCCAAAGGGAAAAAAAAAAAGAGAGAGCATTTGAGGCAGCAAAGTGATGGTAAAGCCAAAGTAAGAAGCAAGAGAGGTCTCCCTGAGGGCTTTCTGAGTTCAGAATATTGCTACAGTTACAATATTGATCTGATGAGGTCGGTGCATTATAACATCTGGATATGAAGCGATGAAGGCTGTTCTTTGTTATTTCTTCCTGCAGCAACACCCTTTGAATTAAATTAGTAGGAGCAGGGCTCTGTTTGTACGGTCTGAAATACACTAGTACTTATTTATTACTTACGCTGAATTATGTTCCTCATGGTACATTACCTCTGATGACATTATTAAGTTTTATGTTTTCCATACAAGTGTCAATACTACTGTCAAATCATTAAATTATAAACTTTGTGATGGTAGGGTCAATATTTGGTTAATGTCAAATACATGTGACAGTGTAGCTGTGTAGTTGTAGAATTAGTAATTATGGAAAATATTTTTATTATTTAAAAAAATTATTTTTCTTCTTGGGTACCTATTATTAAGAAGAGAGCTAGATATGAATAATGCAGTTCAACTCAAATGTAATAATTAATTCAAATAGATTTCAAATAATTTTTAATGCTTTTTTAACCTATGAAATTCTACTTAAAGCTTTTGACTGCTAATCAGGGCATGAAGATTAATTGTTCCCTAACATCTTCCTCTTTTCTTTCAGACTTCCTTTTCTATATCTAGCTACTTTAATTTTATTCAGCCAAGGTCAAACATGGCCTCTCAGCCCCTATGTATTAGCTACACTACAATCCTTCTGAAGAACAGCATTCTTGCTTCCATTATGACTTGCTTTTAATGGTCTTTTTCAATGGGACATATTTCATGTAGTTTCTACTACTCTTTTGTGTCTTTTTTCTAGATACTTGGCTTCATTTTCTTCTTTGATCTTTTCAAGTACAATTGAATATACTAAAGTGGGTTTTAAATCAAAAATTAATAAATGTTTAATGAAAATAATGTTTAATATTGCTAATTTTAATATTACTTCTCTGTCAAGAAGAGAACAAATACAATGATGATTACTTGTGTCCTATTTAGTGCTAGAAACATTGTATAAATTTATTTCTTGATCTATTAAAAACAATGGATATCCTTCTTCAATAATTTTGGGACTTTGTTTAGAAACATACTATGAAGATCCTAAAAAAAAATAGCTTTGGGGGAATAAGTTTTTTAAAAGGAGGTACAGGGAAAGGTAAAATTGTTTAATAGGAAGATTTTCCTCTAATATGAAGAAGAATGTGGCAATTGTTTACACTAGTTTGTAAAAGGGAATGCTTAAGGTTAAGAATTCCTTGACCAGAAGCAAAACCTTTCTAACAATATTGCCTCCACTCAATGATCTCAACCTCAGCTCTGGATCTCTTTTAAATCAGGTGTTGTTAATAGTTGAGGCTAAAAAAAACTTCCCTTACCAAGTATGTGAAGTAGAATAATTGTCCCCAAAGATGTCTGTATTCTAAGCTCAGAACCCATGAATATGTTAGGTTCCAAGGCAAAGAGGATTTCAGGTTGTAGAGGAATTAAGGCTACGAAACATCTTAACTTCAAATAGGGAGCTTATCTCAAATTGTTCAGGGTGGACCTCATGTAATGTCAAGAGTCTTGAATGTGGAAGGAGGCAGCAGAGAGGGTCAGATAAAGAGCTGTTGTGACAGAAGCAGAATCAGAGTGTTGCTGGGTTGCCAGGTTGAAGAAGGAGGAACAGGACTGGGAGTCAAGGAATATCAGTGGCCTCTAGAAGCAGGTGAAAACAAGGAAAAGAGTATTCTTCCTCAAAGCTTCTAGGAATAGAGCTCTGTTAACACTTTGGATTTTCACCCTGTGAAATTCTAGCCTAAAAAACTATAAGCTAAAAAAACACTAAACTTGTGGTGATTTATTATGTCAGTCATTAGAAAATCAATGTGCCAGGCATAGCAATGAGAAAGTGATTTTTTTAAGAGTATTTGTGTTGTATTGACTTGTCTTCCTGTTAGTGGGGATGGATTTTGCATGCAACTCAAATATCAAAGCTCAAAAATCTAAAATTAGCATTGACAAAAAATAGTTTTTGTTGGAAATGCAAAGTACAAGAAATATGAGAAACTAAATGCATCACTGCAGTTTGATAAGAACATATTCCATGCGCGGTTACCAGGAGCCTATCCAGCATTCCAAGTACACCAACTTGCCTGGTTTATGCTGTTTCAGCTCTATAGTGCAGCTTCTTGACTGTGCAAACTATTTTTCTGTTTCTTTCACTAAATCCAATCATTTTGAGAAAAAAAATGTGATTAGAAAACTTGCACTACCTAAAAATCTTTTTCTCTTTGAATCAGGGTCTTGAATTATTCTCTAGTCACATTTAGCTACAGTTCCACTGCAGTTCCCTAAGAATCTTTTCATTTGGAGTTTCTTTCTGGGCTCTCATTGGATACAACCCCCTTATCTAGATTAATTATCCTACTTAAAAAGGCAAATAAAGCCATTTAAAACTTTTAATTAAACAGAAGCAAACACTTATTGACTATAATCTGTTAAGCACAGTTCTAAGTCATGAAGAAACAATAATACATATGGCATGATAAACTCTGTCAAGGAGCTCAAAGTTTAAGGTAGGAGAACACACATTATTTCAAAAATTGTAGAAGTGGGTTAACATGGGGCTTACACAAAGTGGGTGTGAGAGAACATGGATGGAATAGGAAGAGGAGTAAGGGTTCTTCAAGGCAGGGGTGTTGGAGGTTGAAGAAAGCACATATATCATGGTGCGGGGGTTGATAGGACCTTGGAAGGACCCAGCAATCAAGTATGGAAACAGGATATGCAGTGAAGATGGAGGTGGGAAATTACCAGTGAGGATAATTTAGCTTTTCCTTCGCTTGAAAATCCTGTGAGATAAATCTCTCCATGAAATTTTACTGACCTCAGATTTTCCACCCGTATGTTTAAAACCTTGATTGACTGAATAGGTCTAAATATTTCATGCTAATTTCTAAAAGCAACCAAGTGAATCATTATGTAGAGATCATATTATTTGTAGATCTTACTTAAAGATCTAGGAAAACCCAGGCAGTTAGTCTTTATAGTGCCCATAGAAATTAGGCAAGTTAATGAACATGTCATATCCTTTGGTGTCTTCATTCCCATAATAGAATATTAATATATAAAACCCTTTCACTTCTTCTAGAAAAGATGACTTTCTCCTTAACTATGAAAATATGGAGGTTTTAGTAGGTAATGTGCTTATAATTTCTATCTCCAAATTATCTGAGATAATAAAAGGGAAGATTTTGGGCTGGATATTCTTTCAAATTTTTTAAAACTGTGAATCTTTATAATTTTCAATAAAATGTTCAGATGGAACCAATCTTCCTTCAAGAGAAGGAAACTCACAGGTATTATAAAAATTCAGAGAATAAAATTTAACTTAACATTCAAGATTTTTCAGTAATTTACCACCATTTGTGACCATGTATGTAGTAAGCACCTTAAGATATTTGGTGACTTTTCTGTATAATATATTATTCATGTGTCTATATAATCATATATGTATCAGATTCTATATATCAAAGCTCAATTCAACTAAATTAAGTTGGTATTTTTCTTCCATTTTAGATTAATATATCTAGACAAGATAAATGTCTTCTTGTCTAGAACCAAGACCTGAGCACATGTTTTTGTGGGATTTCAAATTCTACTACCCTACAGTGATTTTTTTAAAAATTTTATGAATATTATCTTTACCAATAAGTATTAACGTGGCAAGTAAAGATGAATACCTTAAGGGTTATATCAGATAAGAGCACTTCCCTTTAGTTATACAGAAGATAAAAGGGTCACTAGAAAAAAATAATGTTAATGTTATAATTGAGTTTGAACAAAAAATATTGTCCATCACTTTGTACCATAAATACTACAAAGTTTCTAGAACACTAATTTTGGAATGTAGGTTTTAATTCACTTACTGACAAACTGACAATGATGTCCCTCCTTAAATAGTGATGTGAATGATTCTGAGAAAATGGGTACTGTGAGTCTAACTCAGAAGGTCCTACCACATGTTCTCTATTTTTCTTATGTAGTCAATCTAAAAATGAAAATATGCATATTTCATAAATGATGGATTGGAAATGGTCATTGTTTAAGTGCAATTCATAAGAATAGAGAATACATGCTAATAATAGAGACGTGAGCTTTAGGAGATTGAGATTACACTATGATGGATTTTTAAAAGCAACCATGATAGACCACAGAGATATATGATATAAGTTATTGATCAATGTGAGGGTAGAATGATCTGTTGGCACTATGATCTATGGTTATTCCATGGCAGGGGGGAGACTGGAATTAGAAACTACTGCTGGGATCTCTAGGTCCTAATCTGTTTGGTAGTCTTATCATATATGAAATTCAAAATCTTTCATCTTAGACATCCATATTACTTGTTTCTTCCCTTGTCTATACCTACATAAGATTAAAAAAACCTGTTGTGGGTAGAATTATATTTGAATGCAAGCTTTTGTGTAATTTCAGATCTTTCTACCATTTCATAGTTACTTACTTTTTAGTTTTATAAATATTATCTTGACCAACAATTATTAAAATGGCAAGTAAAGATGGCTATGGATAAAAATGAACTAAAATACCCAACTTATTCATTTTAAGAACTAATTTGACTTTACATGTTTCCAACATCTTGGGAAATTATACTATAAAAATCCTATGCACAAATGAATATATGTATTTAAATAGCAATTCAGCACTTCACAATGTATTTCATGTACCTTTTTAATATTTATTTTTTTAATTATAGGTGGACACAATATTTTTAATTTTATTTTATGTGGTGCTGAGTATCGAACCCAATGCCTCAC